CTGGGGGGGGGGGGTTCTACTGCTGAGGTCCATCTCCAGTTCCCTGTCCCAAATTTTATTTTTAAAATTTTATTATTTTATTTTTTTGTTTTTGTTTTTTGAGACAGTGTCTCCCTGTAGCCTTGGCTGGCCTGGAACTCGCTATGTAGACCAAGAGATCACCTGCCTCCGCCTTCCAAGTGCTGGGATTAAAGGTATGCGCATCCAGCTGAATTTTATTTTGATACAGGGTTTCACCAAGTTATTCAGGCTCTCTTTAAGCTGATTCTATAACCCAGGCAGGCCTTGAACTTGCAATCCTCCTTTCTCAGTCACTTGAGTAGCTGAGAAGACAGGTCTGTGCCCACATATTTTGTCCCTTCTAGAGATGAGAAAGTGTGTCTAAAATGAAGAGATGTGAATTTGAATTGAGGAGGCCCAATTTAAAAACTCAGGCTTCCTTCCCTGCCTGTCCAGGCTTGCCAGCCCCCCTTCCCCACCCCCCAAGGCTTTCCTTGGGAAGACCGGGTTGTATTTCCAACCGGATCTGACTCAGAGGAAGGATTTCTAATCCCTGGCCCCAGCATCTGCCATGGTCCCCAGGCTGCACAGCTGAAGGGGGACTCCAAGCTAGGGTAGGGAGGAGAGCCATGACCGACCAGCACTCATTCCCATCATGGGATAAATATAATTGTGGCTTTGGGGTCTCTGGTGGTTTTTTGGGTTCAGAGATTTGGGGGTGTCCTTTGCCTGTAGGTCTTCATGATTAATAAAATGCATTCTGAGGGTTACCAGGGACAGTGTCTGATATAGCTCTGTGCCCCAGGGTCTATAAATATCAAAATGGGGTATTTGTATATTTCCTGGCGGTTTTTTGGACAAGGTCTTGTAGCCCTGGCTGGCCTGGAACTCCCTATGTCCCTCAGACTATCATTGAACTTGCAGCAATCCTCCTGCCTCTGCCTCCTGTGTTGGGATTATAGGCATGAGCCACTCTAGCCAAAAGATTTTTATCTTAAATTAAAAAAAATATTTCATTTATTATTTTTATGTGTGAGTATATTGCCTGTATGTGTATGAATGCACCCTTTTTCTTGTGCAAAGCCCTCAGAATCAGAAGAGAATGTTGGATCCCCTGGAACTGGAGTTGTTAGCTGCCTTGTGGATGCTGGGAATTGAACCCAGGTCCTCTGCAAGAGTAGTCAGTGAGCCAGGCATGGTGGCACACGCCTTTAGTTCCAGCGCTCGGGAGGCTGAGACAGGTGGATAACTGCAGAGCCATCTCTCCAGCTGCTGATTTTTAATCTTTACTACAAGAGAGGAAAAAGATCAGAAGGACAAAGTAACCAGCCAGAGAGCTGGGTATCAAGCGTAGTTTTTTGTGACCTTTCCTTTGACCTTTAAGGGAAGAACTTGATTCTCCAGCAAGGATGCTGTGGACAAATCTGGACTGACTCTGTGATCAGAATGTCACAATTTGTGATCACAATTCCTGACAGATTATTCCTGGAGGGGAATGCCTCAGGCAGGGACAACCGGTCAACTGCATATCCCTGCCCAGTCTATAGCTGGGAAGGGCCTAGTCCAGTTCTTGTGGGCAGCCTGTGGTCCAACTGGCATTCCAGGGGCCTGCCTGGCATGTGGGGAATGTCCCAAGAGAAATTTCAGCCTTTCAAATGCTCAGAAAAGGGAAGTATTCTCAAACCGGTGGTGGGAGGATGGGTGGGAGGTGGTGTTTGTGGGAATATCCCTCTGGTCCAGAACTGCCTAGTTGTTTGTATTGGTTCCTGTCCTTATAACCTATATAGGTACTTTTTTTTTTTGGTCTTTTTGAGACAGGGTCTCCCTGTAGCCCCAGCTGTCCTGGAACTCACTATGTAGACCAGGCTGGCCTTGAACTCACAGAGATCCGCCTGCCTCTGCCTCCTGAGTGCTGGGACTAAAGGCGTGCTCCACCACGTCCAGCTTTTATAATTTTTATTTTATATGGGTGCTGGAAAACATACCCGGGTTTTTCTGCACCACTGAGCCATCTCTCCAGCCCCAGGTGACCAGATGTTTTAAAGCTTATATTCATCACTAGTTAATGTGAATCTATAGATGGAGTCAGACAATCTGAAAAACTTAGTATCTATTCTCCTATATTAATATTTTTATGAGGCCATTTTTATTTTAGTTTTGAAATTTTAATTCAATTTACTAAATGTGGGCTTGCTCTAGACAAAAATTTGATAAATTAATTTCCAAATTAGATAATCTCCCCCAGCAAAGGTAGCTTTAGTTATTATAGACTGATTCCAAGGAGGAAGCTGAAGCCTTGCCATATTTTCCAATTCTCCCTCTCTGAAAAGCATTTCTTATCGGGAGGAGATTTGGGGCTGGAGCGATGACTCAGCAGTTAAGACTGGCCGCTCTTCCATAGGATCTGGGTTTGGTTCCCAGGACCCACTTGGTGACTAGGAACTGTCAGTAACTCCAGTTCCAGGGGATTGGCACCCTCTTCTGGTCTCTGGGGGTTTGCTCCCATGAGATGTGTTTACATACATGCCGAGCAAAACACTCATTAAAAAATAGTAGTAAATAAATAAAAGTTTAGCTAGACATGGTGGCATATGCTTTTAATCCCAGCACTTGGAAGGCAGAGGCAGGCAGATCTCTGTGAGATCAAGGCCAGCCTGGTCTACATAGTGAGTTTTAGGTCAGCCGGGGTTACAGGAAGACTCTGTCTCAAAAAAAAAAAAAAAAGGAAAGAAATAAATTAAAAAACCCACCAACAAACCAACCAAATTGTGGGGGTTTATCTTGATCATTTCAATGAAAGGGCCAGTTTTTGGAAGTAGTGCAGGTATAAGCTTTGCTTTTTGTTTCCACAAAGGTTCCAAAACATGTTTAATTTCCACATAGAAACAACAGGAATAGAAGACATCCCAGACTGATGTTCTCCTTTCAGATTTTTTTTCCTACTTGATCCTAGCATTCTGGGTCTACAGTACTTTTGTCTAGGAGCCAGAGATTATGTTTAATTACAGCTTCTAACAATTTCTTTTAGATTGTGCAGCACTAGTTTCTGACTGCTTTAACATGCATTTAAGCAAGTGGATACAATGTTTGGCTTTTTGAATCTGATTTTCAGCTTTGTTTGCTTTAACATGCATGAAATAATTTTTAAATGTTTTATTATTTTTATGTATATGAGTGTTATGCCTACATGTAGGTAAGTGCACCTGTGTCGTGCGATGCCCGCAGAGGACAGAAGAGGCTACTGGATCCCCTGGAACTAGAGTTACAGACAGTTGTTAGCTGCCATGTGGATGCTGTGATTGGAAACCAGGTCTTCTGCAAGAACAGTCAGTGTTCTTAACCGCTGAGCCATCTCTCCAGCCCGCATGAAATAATTTTAATTTTATTTTATATGTGTAATGTTTTGCCTGCATATATGTAAGTTCACTACATGGGTGCAATGCCCACGGAGGTCAGAAGAGGGTGTTGGAACCCCTGAAAGTGGAGTTATGGACAGTTGTCAGCTGCCATTTTGGTACTGGGAACCAAACCCAGGTCCTCTGAAAGAGCAGTCAATGCCCTTTACCGCTGAGCCATTTCTTCAGTCCGACATTTAAGTAATTTTAAATCAAAGGGATTATGTAGTCTCATTCTATTTCCAGGTACATGAGGATCAGGAATTTCTGATACAGAGAAAGCCATAGATCTTCATCTTCTGAAATAAAACTTTCTATCTTTTGCTACTGCTTTCTTCGATGGTGTAAGTCCTTTGGCATTGAAAGGGAAATTGGGAAAACCTGTTCTTCTGAAAGAAGGTTATGAGACCCCACAACCTTCTACAGGTGGCGGTGGTGCACTGGTCATAGGAATCTCGCCCCATTGTTAGAACAAGTTTTTTCTATTTCAGTGGATTCCTTTAAATGATATCCAAATGGCTCAAGCCTTGTTTTAAAACTAAAAGTTTCTTTATCTAAAAATCCCCTTCTCTAGTAAGGAGATTTATATCTATTGCAACATTTATATCCATTGCAACATTTCCTAAAGAACTGACAAGCTAACATTGGCTCCTGCCTGTTTTAATAGACAGTAAAACTAGGGAAAGAAAATGATGAGGAGGAGCTGGGCGTGGCCTACCTCGATGACGTCATCCTGCCTATAAAAGAGTGGGCGCCGCCGGGCGGGCTTTGTGGAGCGCTTGCAGAGGGGTGAGCCGAGCAGAACAAAGGAGATCGGGGACCGTCACCCAAGCTTCCGGGGCCACCCGGGGTCGCCCACCGCCACCATGACCGCCAACGGCACGGCCGAGGCGGTGCAGATCCAGTTCGGTCTCATCAACTGCGGCAACAAGTACCTAACGGCCGAGGCGTTTGGGTTCAAGGTGAACGCATCCGCCAGCAGCTTGAAGAAGAAGCAGACCTGGACCCTGGAGCAGCCGCCGGACGAGGCGGGCGGCGCGGCAGTGTGTCTGCGCAGCCACCTGGGTCGCTACCTGGCCGCCGACAAGGACGGCAATGTGACCTGCGAGCGCGAGGTGCCGGACTCCGACTGTCGCTTCCTCATCGTGGCGCACGACGACGGTCGCTGGTCGCTGCAATCCGAGGCGCACCGACGCTACTTCGGGGGCACCGAGGACCGCCTGTCGTGCTTCGCGCAGAGCGTGTCTCCAGCCGAGAAGTGGAGCGTGCACATCGCCATGCATCCCCAGGTCAATATCTACAGCGTCACTCGCAAGCGCTATGCGCATCTGAGCGCGCGACCCGGCGATGAGATCGCCGTGGACCGCGACGTGCCGTGGGGCGTCGACTCGCTCATCACCTTGGCCTTCCAAGACCAGCGCTACAGCGTGCAGACCTCGGATCACCGCTTCCTGCGCCACGACGGGCGCTTGGTGGCGCGTCCCGAGCCCGCCACCGGCTACACGCTGGAGTTCCGCTCCGGCAAGGTGGCCTTCCGCGACTGCGAAGGTCGCTATCTGGCCCCATCCGGGCCCAGCGGTACCCTCAAGGCCAGCAAGGCCACCAAGGTGGGCAAAGACGAGCTCTTCGTCCTGGAACAGAGCTGCGCTCAGGTGGTGCTGCAGGCAGCCAACGAGAGGAACGTGTCCACGCGCCAGGGTGAGTTGGGGACACCTCCCTCCACCTCGGTGGCTCCCCCGGTCCATTGCACAAAAGCATTCTCCACGCCTGCATCCTTTCCCCATCGTCCGGTGCGCCCTCCTTAGGCGCACAGGCCATTGCTCCCCATTTCGGGGTTCCTTTTTTTTTTTGAAACAGGGTCTCACTATGTAGCCCTGGCTGGCCTGAAACTCACTATGCAGACCAGGCTGGCCTCGAGCTCACAGACATCTGCCCGCCTCTGTCTCCTGAGTGCTAGGATTAAAAGGCGTGCGCCACCACCCCCTGCCCGAGACGTGGGCTTTGCCGGAAGGAGGGGACGTGGGTGCGGCCTAGCGCGTCCTCAAGCTCTGCTATCCACCTCCCCCATCCCAGGCTGGAGGTGTGGGACCCCTAGGCCCAGCTTAGGGGGACACCCTCTATGTCACTTCTTCCCAACCTGAGTTGTCCTCGTGCGCGGGCTGACCCGTTAGGATCGGCTCGCTCTAGGTCTTGGGGAGAGGGTGAAGTCCCCTTGTCCATTTCCTCGTGCGTCCTCCACCCAGGTCCGCAGGCCTTAGGCTGGAGGGCCAGGCGACGGTCACCCCTGGCACTGAGCGGTCCTCACCCCCCTTCGGCCGCCCTTCCTGGCGCGGTGGGGTATTGGCGCGGCTTTTGATCGCGGCGGGGTGCGCCGGGCGGGGTCGGCTCTGCGGCTGGGGGATGTCCGCAGGGGCTGCCCCTCCCCCACCTCCCCTCGCCTCAGCCTGGCGCTCCAGGCCGCGGCCTTTGTGAGCTGGGGGGCGGGTCGCCTCGGCTGGGCCCTCCCTCGCCCCCTTTGTCCTGCGAGGGCTTTGCAGATGGGAAAACCAGATGCGGAGCTGGGGGAGGGGATCTGCTTAGGCGGGTCCCCCTGCGGAGGAGCCAACCCCCCCAGGCCTTTCCCTAGGTCCTGGGCTCTGTCCCCAGGCGTGGCTCCTTGCACCGGGTCTGGCTTGGGTGGCCGCATGCCAGGCACCCTCCCTGGCCTCCCGTGCGTCCCTTGCTTGGCCCTGCGGGTGTCCGGCTTCCTTTGGAAGCCCCTGGCCTGGAGTAAACCCGTACCCAAGGCCCCTGGCCGGGAACAATTGGTTGGTTGCAACTCGATCTGTCCCCTTCCAGGGCCTCTGGTCGGCAGTCTATTTCCGACCGGCCTGGGCGTGCCACAAGTGGGAGCCTCTTTTCTGGGTTCTTCTTGGTCAAGACGGTCTTTGCTGCCTGCTGGAGTGGGGCTATGAGATCTCTTTTTTCTTGAGTGGGAAATTGGATCCCAGGCCGAGTTTGTAGGGAAGAGAAAGACTCCCTGCCCCCAATGCTCAAGGGGGAGGGACTGGGTGGGTCCCGGTGGGATTTGGCTGAATTAGGGCTCAGAGAGGTGAAGCCACTTGCCCTAGGTCACACAGTAAGTCAGCAAACATGCTAAACTGGGTGTTTTTGATTCTAGAATGTTCTCTCTCCACACACACCCCCACCCCTTATTGCATGTCAGTCCCTTTTTAAAATCTCAACTGCTGGATGAGGGGGGAGCATGTCCATCTGAGTTCCCATGAGTTTAGCAAAAGTTGAGATACAAGCGGGGTGGTGACCGAGTCTTTTGGCAACACGATTGACTCAAGCAAAGCACTGGGGGTGCAGGACCAGGGTCCTAAATTATATGGGGCAGGATCCTTTCTAAGGATCACACTTGAGCCACTAGGGAGATTGAATAGAAGTTAGCAGGCACCAAGTTTGTGGACCGGTGTTGCATGCAGAGGGCACAGCACATGCAAAGACCCCGAGGCAGGAAGGTGCAGAGAAAGACATCCCTGTGTGTCTGGGAAGAAGGTTGGAAGCTGGGGCTGGAGGGGACCTTCAGGGTACCCAGACTAGGGTGGGTATCAGCAGCATAGAGACCTGCTCTTACCTACTGGGCTGTGTCCAAGGCCAGCTGCCCTGGGGAAGGTGAGGGAGGATCAGGTGGCTTGGACCCTAGGGCCCATAAAGGAGCCAGAGGATGTGTTTTTCGAGCCTGGGCAGGTGACCTCCTCTCAGGCTGCCATGATTGGGTGACTCACACTGTTGGGGGCAGGAAGAGACAGAAATTGGAGTCTTGATGGGGGTGGCTCAGTTTCGAAAGGGTGAGTCTGAAGCAGGGAACTTGGGGGATCCATGACTGCCCTCGGATGTTGGGGTCCAAGCGTCAATCCCATGTCAACCAACCAACCCCTCTCCCTAGGGTTTCTTGGGGTGAGCTGCCAGGTGGGCGTGCCTGCGAGGCCATTTTGGGCAGGCTTGCGTGGCAGGGAGACGGGGCTGGGCTTCAGAAACACATGTTGGGAAACGCTAGCCAGAAATGGTGGGGGGAGGGAAGGCGGATGGAGCCAGGGCTGAGCAGGCTGGGGCTGTGAATCATCTCTACAGAATCACCCCTGCTCAAGTCTCAGTTTCCCCATCTGTAAAGCACAGAGGAGCTTCTGGCCCGGCTCTGTCCCTGGGAGGTAGTGGTGGATCTTGTCCTTGCTCCTCAGGGGGATCCTCTCAAGGACCCCCTCCAAGGACCCTAGGAGACCCCGTGCTGTGCCTCACCACGCTGCCCATCCTACTTCATTCACATCTGGGGATGAGGGTTGGGGACCCTCTGAGTCCCTGCAGAGATACCAGGGAAGCTGGAACTCAGGATGGAAGACAGGCACGTCCCCTCCTGTGGGCTCCTGGAAGCCTGTGACTCAGGTTTTCTGTACTGCGGCTTTTGAAAAGAAAAAGAAAAATCCCGCAGAAAATCTGTTGCCATAGCAATGCAGCTCCAATGTGATTCCAAGGCCAAGTGGGGCCTTTCCTGCCTGGGCTGGGCCTTGGAAGGGGCCCCCCGCTGGAAGGGGGGGACTAGCTTCCCCCACTTCCTGCTGTGGTGGGAGGACCCTACATCTCCTTGGCAACAGGCCCTCACATCCTTTCAGGATCCCAGCAGAGTTGGGCCCTTTTGGCAGAGTAGGGAAACAGGCAGAGGGCGGAGGCGTTTACCCAAGGGTGCCTGTCATCCCAGTTTTGGTGACCCAGTGGACTTTCATCAAAGACTGGACACAGTCCAGGCTTGGTGGCACATGCCTCTAGTCCCAGCACTGGGGAGGCAGAGGCAGGTTGGATCTTTGTGAGAGCCAGCCAGGGCTACGTATTAAGACCCTGTCAGAAAAGTAAATAAAAGAGCTGGGCGTGGTGGCTCATGTCTTTAATCCCAGCACTCAGGGAGGCAGAGGCAGGCGGATGTTTGTGAGTTCCGGCTTGGTCTCAATAGGGAGTTCCAGGTCAGCTGGAGCTGCAGTGAGACACTGCCTCAAAAAGACAAAAAAGATAAATAAACGGGCTGGAGAGATGGCTCAGCGGTTAAGAGCACTAGTTGCTCTTGCAGAGAACCCAGGTTGGTTTTTAACAATTGTCTATAACTCCAGTTCCAGGGAATTAATTTGACGCCCTCTACTGACCTCTGGGGCATTGCACACATGGGTGCACTTATATACATGCACATAAAAACTCTCATACATAAAACACTCATACACATAAAAATTAAAAGTAAATAAATAAAGTCTGCACACAACAGGACTGTGGGTCTGAAGATGAAGGGGAAGCAAGTTGTCTCAACAAGTCCCTTTCTGTCCTCTATCTGCATGGCTTATTTCTCAGAGTTACTGGGAGGCTGAAGATTGGTGTGTGTCCTTGAATTAAGCTTAGTCAGTGTGCACAACTAGTTGAGAAGGTGCCTCCTCCTTGTGAGCAGGCTGCTAGGCTCAGCTGTTTATGAGGCTGTGTTAGGATCAACAGGCTAGGCAACTCTCTTCCATGCTATGCCCCCCGCCCCCCAACACTTTTTTTATCTTTGTAGCTCAGGTGGCCCTCCAGGTCTCTATCCTCTTGCCTCAGCCTCCCATGATGACAGGGGTGGTGGTGGTGGTGGTGGTTACTTCTGTCTTCCTGGCTCCTTTTTACCCTTCTTCCTGGGGAAGCTGGAGCAGCATTCTGCTGCTCGGGTGGCTGGGAGGAAATTTTCCTTTACTGGGGGTCAAACCTGAGGCCTTGTGCATGATAGGCAAGTCTCTACCACTGAGCCACACCCCAGCCCCTCTCTTGTGGATTCAGTTCTCCTATCATGTGGGTTCTGGGGATGGTGCCTTTACCCGTCTTTACCCTAATGCTGTCTTTTTCTGCCTGTCTCCTTGCTTTCAGTGGGCACACATTGAGCATGTGGGATCATTTGATGGGGGTGGCCACTTGGCTTTCCAAACAGAGTGTGGCAAATCTGCCCAATGTGCTGACTCAGCTTTCCCTGCACACATGCATCTTACAGGCAGACGGGACAGTGGGTGGCATTCTACAGGCATGTGGCCAGGTGCCCCCCTCCCCCCAGTGTTCAGTGGTAGGTCTGTGGCAGGGTTGCTGGTTCACAGGACCTCTGATTGGGAAGGTGGGTGGTTGGGTGAGGAGGGACTCCATCCAGCCTGGGAGGAACCACCCTACCTTCTATACTTCACTGGTAGGATTCTGTGGAGGACCTGGGTCAGAGTGTTGAGTGACCCACCCACAGAGGCCACACCCACCTGTTTATAGCTAGGCTGGTGGGCTAATGCTGGGCTTTAGCCAGGCATCTGCCTATCTCCCCTCTGGAGAGCCAAGAATCCCTTGGTCTTACTGTGTGACCTTGGGCCAAGAATATGTCACCTCCGAGCCCTATCTTCCTCTTTGTGAAGTAGGGGTGAGAATTGCCACCTTACTTTCAGACCCTTGGGTGGGTTATCAACTAAGGATGGGTCTGTGGATGCTGTAGTGGAGTTGGTGACACCTGCCACCCACCTGTGGGTTCTTGCTTTGTAAGGACACTCAAAGATAAGCCAGGCCAGGCACCCAGCAGTGTGTGGCATATTTACGCTGCCATGCTTCCTAGCATCCTGGGTGGCTGGGAACAATGAGTTTATCTCTTTAGACCCAAGATCCCACTTGCAGATAGTCAAAGCTGGTGTGCAAAGCAGGGCCAGGTGGAGCAGCACCTCACTAGGGCTTTGTGAGGTCATGTGACATGGAAACCCGTGTAGATGTTACAAAGGTAGGAGTCTGCAAGTCATATAGTGACTCATGCCTGTCATTCAGCACTTGGGAGGCTGATGCAGGAGGATTGCCACAAGTGTTAGGCCAACTACATAGTAGGACCCTGTTTCAAAAAACTGGACGGGCTAGTGAGATGGCTCAGTAGGTAAAAGTGCTTGCTGCCATGCTCAAGTCCTGAGTTTAATCCCTGGGACATATATGGTGGAAGGTGAGAACTGACACCTTCAAGTTGTCCTCTGACTTCTATGCACACACAAAATAAATGTTAAAAAAAGGAGCTGAGCGTGGTGCATGCACCTTTAATCCTAGCACTTAGGAGGAAGCGGCAGGGCAGGCAGATCTCTGTGAGTTCAAGACCAGCCTGATCTACATAGTGAGTTCCAGACCATCTGGGGCTACAGATTTTTTTTTTGGTCTTTTTGAGACGGGGTCTCCCTGTAGCCCCAGCTGTCCTGGAACTCACTATGTAGACCAGGCTGGCCTTAAACTCACAGAGATCCAACTGCCTCTGCTTCCTGAGTGCTGGGATTAAAGGCGTGTGCCACCACACCTGGCTCCAAAAATTTATCTTTTATAGACCACGCCTTTATTCCCAGCACCTACATGGTGACTAACAACTGTCCCTAATTCCAGTTCCAGGGGATCCGACTCCCTCTTCTGTCCTCTGTGGGCACTGCATGACACGGGTGCACTTACATACATGTAGACAATACACTCATACACATAAAATAGAAATAAATCAAAAAAGATTTTGAAAAGATTTATTTTTATTTTATGTGTATTAGCATTTTGCCTGCATATATGTATACATAACACATTGCACCTGGTGTTTGAGGTTACTGAGATTATGAATCATGTGGGTGCTAAGAACTGAACCTGGGTCCTCTGTTAGAGCAGCAAGTATTCTTAACTGCTGAGCCATCTCTCCAGTCCCATCCTCTTTTTAAAAAAATAATTACATGTGAGCTGGGTGTAGTGGTGCACACCTTTAATCCCAGCACTCAGGAAGTATTTTTTGTGTGTGTATGTGTGCCTGTGTGCATGCACTACAGCACCCATGTGGGGTTCAGAGAACAACCTCAGAGAGTTGGTTCTCTCCTACCATGTGGTTGTGGGAGTAGAACTCAAGTTGTGTCTTTACCCTATGTTATCCAGCCTGTACCTCTTTTTTTTTTTTTTTTGAGACAAGGTTTCATGTAGCCCAGGTTGATCTTAAACTCACTATGGTTGCTGAGGTTGGCCTTGAACTTCTGATCCTCCTGCCTCTACCTCCCAAGTTCTGGGATTAAAGGCATGTACCACCACATCCAATTTACAGGTTGCTGGTGATGGAGCCCAGGACTTCATGCATTCGAGGCAAGTACTCTTAACAACTGAAGTACATCCCTAGCTCTATTTTACTGTTTATTTTGAGACAGGGTCTCACTCTGTATATCCCAGGCTGGCTTCAAACTCTCACTCTTCCTTCCTCAGCGTTCTGAGCACTGGGATGATAGGCGAGCATCCCCCAAGCCTCATGGATTCTTCTACTTTCACACATACAGTCCAGCAGGAAGATGTAATGAACTTCCTTTTCCCAGCACCACCCCCATGTGACATTCTGCAGAACCAGCTCCGTCTGTGTATTTATCTGATGGTTTTGGTTGTATTTAAAGCAAATTCCTGACATTCGTGATTTATCCGGAAGTGCCTCCATCTGTACCTATGAAACCAGGCCATTCCTTACATAAGTGCAGCATCACTATAAACAGTAACCAATCTTTAAAATCAAATCCTGGGCCAGGGTAGAGTCTCTAGCTTGGCCCTAGAACATCTTTGTGGGTGGTTCCTTTTGAGATGTGAAGGCTTCCTTCTTCCCTCCTTCCCCTCTCTTCTTTGTCTTTTGAGGTGCTGGAGATTAAAGCAATCTTCCACCGAGCAAAATCCTCAGTCCTATTTTTCATTTGAGTCTCATGTAGTCTAGACTTGAACTCATGGCACTCCTCCTTCAGCTTCCTGTGCTGGGATAACAGGTGTGAGCCACCACATCTGGGTGTTTTGTTGTTGTTTGTTTTTTACTTTAATATTTTATTTATTATTTTTATTTTATGTGTATATTACCTGCATGTAGGTAAGTGCACCCGTGTCCTGCAATGCCCTTGAAGGACAGAAGAGGCCATTGGATCCCCTGGAACTGGAGTTACGGACAGTTGTTAGCTGCCATGTGGGTGCTGGGATTCAAACCCAGGTCTTCTGCAAAGAACAGCCAGTGTTCTTAACTGCTGAACCATCTCTCCAGCCCCACATTCTACTTTTTTTTTTTGAGACAAGGTCTTACCATGTATCTCTGTCTGGCCTGAAACTCTGCTATGTAGACCAGGCTGGCCTGAAACTCACAGAGAACTCCCAGCCTCTGAGTGCTAGGATTAAAGGCATGTGCTTCCACGGCCTGTTCCTCTCTCTCTATTTCTTTCTCCTCTCTCTCCTCTTTCCTTCCTTCCTTTCTTGCCTCAGTCTCACAGAGATCCGCCTGCCTCTACATCCTGTGCTGGGACTAAAAGCATGTGTCACCATGCCCCACTTAAATATTAATTTTTTTTTTAAATCTTTTTGAGACCGGGTCTCCGTGTAGCCCCAGCTGTCCTGGAACTCACTATGTAGACCAGGCTGGCCTTGAACTCACAAAGATCCGCCTGCGTCTGCCTCCTGAGTGCTGGGATTAAAGGCATGGACCACTATGCCCGGCTTAAATGTTAATTTTATTGAGACAGCATCTCCCTCTGTAGCCCAGACTGGCCTGGGAACTCACAGTTAGTCAGCCATCATGTCTAGCTTTTTTATTTTCTTTTTTTTTTTTGCTCTTTTTGAGACAGGGCTTCCCTGTAACCCCAGCTCACCTGGAACTCACTATGTAGACCAGGCTGGCCTCAACTCAGAGATCTGCCTGCTCTGCCTCCAGAGTACTGGGATTAAAGGCATTTACAACTACAGTTGGCTTATGTCTAGCTTTTATGGTCAGGAAATTTAACCAGACCTGGTAGCCTGGCCCAGTTGCTTGGTCCTGGCCCCTGCCCAGGATTGCCAGCCATGGGGTCTGAGCCTTGCCCGGGTCTTGGCAGCCTCCTACACTATGGTACCCTTTAAGTGAGGGTGTGTAACAGTGAGTTTGTGAGTCTGATGGAACTAGGGGACAAGGGGCATGGGGTGCACTGACAGGCTGTGTTCTCCTTGGCTGCAGGTATGGATCTGTCAGCCAATCAGGATGAAGAGACTGATCAAGAGACCTTCCAGCTGGAGATTGACCGGGACACAAAAAAGTGCGCCTTCCGTACTCACACGGGCAAGTACTGGACACTCACGGCCACTGGAGGTGTGCAGTCCACTGCATCCACCAAGTGAGTGATGCCCCGCCCCTCCATCACCTGGGCTGGCCACTCTCCTGGGAGCCTTGACTTGCTTTGACTTTCATCCCACCAACCCCCTACTTCACCCCCCAGGAATGCCAGCTGCTACTTTGATATCCAGTGGTGTGACCGCCGCATCACACTGCGAGCTTCCAATGGCAAGTTTGTGACTGCCAAGAAGAATGGGCAGCTGGCCGCCTCTGTGGAGACAGCAGGTAAGCCACCTGGGGGGTCTTCACCCCCCCCCCGGACCTCTGGTTCCTTGGAGCCCTCCTAGAGTCTTTTGAGGGTCAGTCACCCCATGGTCACTTGCCAGTGCCACCTAACCCTTCTGTGTGTGCAGGGCCTCCCTCTGAACTGAATATACCCTAGTATAGCCACTGGCTAGTGCTGTGTTACCCTTAGCTTCTTGCTGCCCTTCCCTGAGCTATACTCAGGCTGGAGCATCCTTCTTGCCATGAAGCTCAGTGGCCCTTTCTCTGTGATAGGGGATGCTGAACTCTTCCTCATGAAACTGATCAACCGCCCCATCATCGTGTTCCGTGGGGAGCATGGGTTCATCGGCTGCCGCAAAGTCACGGGCACTCTGGACGCCAACCGCTCCAGCTATGATGTCTTCCAGCTGGAATTCAACGATGGTGCCTACAACATCAAAGGCAGGTTCTCCAGGGAGAGATGAGCACAGCCATTTGTGGCCACCCTGGAACAGAGGTCCTGTGGCCACTGGCGGTCATGTTCCTCTGTATGGGACTTTCCCAGCATACCCCAGGCAGATAGCGAAGTGGGAAGCAGCCAGGGATGGTGCATGCCTGCAGTCCCATCACTGAGAGTCTGAGGACTATCTAAAAAATCCACAACAAATAGAAGGAGAAGGTTGGAGGTTAGGGTATGGGATTCCACCTTGGCTATGGGATCAAACACCAGGGTGATGGGACTCTGACAATCCAGAGGATTTAAATTGGAATTAGAACCCCAATGGTGTGCAGATAGGCCTCAATCCTGTTTTTTTGTTTTGTTTTGTAAGTATTTTATTTATTATTTTTATTTTATGTGTATGCGTGTATTGCCTGCATGTAGGTAAGTGCACCTGTCCCAGGCCAGCGGAGGACAGAAGAGGCTGTCAGATTCCTTGGAACTGGAGTTACAGACAGTTGTTAGCTGCCATGTGGGTGCTGGGATTTGAACCTGGGTCTTCTGCAAAACAGCCAGTGTTCTTAACTGTTGAGCCTTAACTGTTGAGCTATCTTTCCAGCCCCTCAATCCTGTTTTTTTGTTTGTTTTTTTGGTGGAGTTGAGGATTGAACCCAAGGCCTGTCACATGTTAGTCAAGTGCTCTACCACTGAGCCACACCGCAGCCCCTTACTGGGGGATTCTAGGCAGGTGCTCTACTGGTGAGCCACACCCCCAGGCCTCTTTTTACTTAAGTTGCCTAGGCTGCCCTTGAATTCTAGGTCATCCTCATGCCTCAACTTCGTAAAGAGTAGAATTATAGGCCTGTACCCCATACCCACCTGACCCCAATCAGTTCTGGAAGCTGATTGGGGAAGGAATGTTAATCCTTAACGAGAACAAAGAGGTAGCCTAACACCAAGTCTCCCTTTCTAGATTCCACGGGCAAGTACTGGACCGTGGGTAGTGACTCCACAGTCACCAGCAGCAGTGACACCCCAGTAGATTTCTTCTTTGAGTTCTGCGACTACAACAAGGTGGCCATCAAGGTGGGCGGCCGCTACCTGAAGGGGGACCATGCTGGGGTCCTGAAGGCCTGTGCGGAGACCATTGACCCCGCCTCGCTCTGGGAGTATTAGGGCCACTTTCCCCCTGTGGGCCACATATCCAGCCCTACCTGCTGTCCTTCCTCTTTGGTGGCCCTGTGGCAGGTGGCAACCCTCCCTTGCCTTGCCTTTCAAACTGGAAACCCCAGAGAAAATGGTGCCCTCACCTGTTGCCCTCTGTGGACCCTCTCCCTCTCCTTTCCTGCTCCCTGTCGACCAGTGGCTGCAACCCATTTCTTGGAGGGACTTTTAGGGCCCTCTTGTACCCCTCCTCTGCCATGGGGCATGCTGGCACCTCTCTCTTCTGACCTCAGACAACTCTGAGCCTTATCTCCCCAGGAAGTGGTCCAGGAGAAGTGGAGGGCTAGAGAGCTGCTCCAGCCCCTGGGCTTGTAACTGGAATCTCCCCACCATCCCCCAACGTGGAGGCCTTGCCTTTCTGGTATATCTGCTCCCAAATTGGGATGCAACAAGCCTTTGGGTGAGGGACTGAAGCTCGCTATGGCCTGGCTTGTCCAGTGTTTTTCTGAATCATGACTGGAGGGCACCCCGTGCCACATCCTGCAGAGGCCCAGCCTTCCTCCCTGACTCAAAGTGGACCAGATGGCACCACCAGGTTCCCCTTGCACATTCTGGGGTTGGGGGGATCTGCTCCCATCTCTTTCTTTGTACCTTAGCCTGACTGGAAGGAGAAAATGACCAAATCAGTATTTTTTTTTTAACGAAATGTTAATGTTCGAAGTGCCCCAGGCAGGCCTGCTCGGTAATAGCTGTGAGTGGTCTTGTTGGGGGCCGGGGGGTGGGGTGGTGGTGGTGGGGTAGTTGGGGTTGGCACCTGTCCTCCTGCCTTCCCATTGGTTCCCTTCCTCCTGCCTGCCCACCCTCAGCCCTAGCCCTGGGATTGGTGCTTCACATCTACCTGACACCTGGGGCTCCTGGGCAGGAGAAAGCCAGGCATGAACCTCAGGGGGCCCCTCCTGGCTCCCAGCCCCCCCACCCTGCCAGTTCTCCACCACCATGCATCTCGCTCTGGGTGTCTTGGTCTTTTATTTTTTTGTAAGTGTCATTTGTATAACTCTAAAGGCCCATGACAGTAGCTTTGAACTGGAAAATAAAATAATTCCAAGTCTGCCGTCTGTGTATGTCTCACAAGGAAGGTGGGTGGAATGGGGCAGGTGGCAGGAGATTGGGGAGGTAGAGAGACTGCACTGAGTGGAAGGGGGTGGGTTCTGGTTCAGATCTCACACACGAGTGATGTGAGCATGCCCAGTAGTAGCTCTGGGCTAAGCACTGGCTGAATATGGGGCTTTTGTGTCCAGCATGGTAGATATTTAAAAGTGTGGGCCAAGGGCTTGCCCTTGCTCAGCAGGTAAGGGTGCTTGCTGCCAAGCTAGTTCAATCCCTAGAACCCACATGGTAGGAGAGAACCACAAGTTGCCCTCTGACCTCCACATGTGAGCCTGTGGCATACACACACAAAATAAGTGTAATAAAATTAGAGTGCAGACTAAGGATGCTAGGCTTGGTGGCCACACCTGCACTTCCAGCATACTGGAAGTCAGGAGAGTGGAGACTTGAAAACTAGCCTGGGCTTAATAGTGGCGATCCTGTCTTAAACCAGGCAAGGGCTTATGTGTAGTAGCACTCAGGAGGTAGAGGCAGGGAGGTCTCTCTGAGTTGGAGCCCAGTATGGTCTACATAGTCTCAGTCCAGCCAACATTCCATAGTGAGACCCTCTCTCAAAAACAAACAAAACACCAGGCCTGGTATTGCACATCTTTAATCCCAGCACTAGAGGCAGAGGCAAGCGGGTCTCTGAGATCGAGGACAGCTTGGTATACATAGTGAGTTCAGGTGGGCTGGGGTTAGGGAGACCCTGAAATAAAAAAAAAAAAAATAGGGTACAACAGTACACACCTGTAACCTCAACACTTGGGAGACAGAGAAGGATCCCTAGGGTTTGCCTCTTATCCAGCTAACCTAATCAGTAAGCTCCTGGTTCAGCAAGAGACTGTCTCAACAAGATGGGAAGGCCTTTGAGGAAGATGCTGATGTTGACTTGCGCTCAGCACACAAAAATAAAAATAAACAAGCTTGTCATCCCTACTCAGGAGGTTGGGGCTAAAGGATCATAGATTCACAGCTGCCTGGACCACAGAGTGAGTTCCTGGCCCACTGGGCAAGTTAAGTAAAAAGAGGACTGATAGAGTTCATTAGTGGACTCCTGTGCCTAGCCTAGCAAAGATTCTTGGTTCAACTTCCAGTAACTCAGCAAAAAGTATTGGTCAAGGGAGACAAGCTGCCCCTGCCTGCCTGCAAGGGGCTTGGGAGTGTGAGAGTCTGGGAGGAGGGTGGCTTCCTTCCCTCTGGGGCCTACTGCAACCAGGGCCCTAGCCCTGTGTTTTCCTCCCAATGGGTAGGTTCCTGGCTGGGCCCTTGTGTGTCTTTTTATCCCATTTTAGGGAAGGGGACATTGAAGGGAAGGGCAGAGACCACCTTGCATGCTGGTGAGGTAACCACTGAGCAGGTGATCCTGGAGGCTCCAGAGTCCCAGCAGGCTGATGCTTTGCAAGGGCTTATTGCCAGCAGGCAGTGGTTGGATGCTGATGATGAAAGGAGGCTTGTGCTGTGATTAGCGGCCCCTGAGGGAGGGAGCACAGAGATTGACAGGGGCAGATGGCCACAAAGGGTCCCAATGGCAGTGCCTGGTGGAAGCTGGGCCCCAAGCCAGAAGTGTCAATGACACAGACGGACAGATGAATTTCCCGGGCTCAAAGTCTCAGGCCCTGGGGGCCATGCTGGGGAAGGGGAAGGGGCATCTTGTCCATTCCCACCACTGAGCAGACCAGCCTGGCCACCTGTTCATTGGGGAAGTCAGACACATGGCTGTGGGTTCCTGCTGCTCCTGGAATTCAGGGTCTTATGGTGGCTAACAACTATCGGTAACTCTAGTTCCAGGGATCAGATGCCCTCTTCTGACCACCATGGGCATTGCATAGCATGGGTGTACTTGCATACACACAGGCATTGCACTCATATACATAAAGTAAAATACAAAGTTAAAAAAAAAGAGTATTAGTGCTCCTAAGAGTCACTGCTTCCTTGAGGTTCCCTGTTCACAGAGACACACTCTTGGAAATTTGCACATGCACAAACTCCTGTGCATCCATGAGCGAGCACACACACACCACAGGCAAAGAGCCCCTGCACACTTACTCGTACATGTGGGTGTACATATAGAAGCACACATGTGAACACACACACAGTAGCACAGAGACCATCTCCTGTGCCAGCTGCAGTTCACTCAAGGGTACCAAATCCCCTCATTTCTCCCAGCTGGGTCAGAGGCTACCAAGGACCTCCATAGCTCTGAGGTGTACTCCCATTAAGCCTGCTCTGTGTGTGTGTGTGTGTGTGTGTGTGTGTGTGTAAGAATATGACTTCCTATTGCACAGATGGGAAACTGAGGCAGAGAGCTAGTCTGAAAGCAGTTTTTTTTTTTTAATGTGTTATGTGTGCCTATATGAGTTTTTGTGTACCACATGCATGCAAGTACCTGCAGAGGCTAGAGAGTATTGGATCCCCTGGAATTAGAGTTACAAGCAATTGTGAGCAGCCTGATGTAGATGCTTGGAACCAAACCCAGGTCCTATAGATGGTTGTTAACCACCATGTGTGTGCTGGGAACTGAACTTGGGTCCTCTGCTGAGCTATCGCTCTAGCCCCATTAACTATGCTGTTAACTGTGAAGTGTGTGTGTGTGTGTGTGTGTGTGTGTGTGTGTGTGTGTCTTTCTTGTAGCCCCAGATGGTTTGGAACTCACTTGTGGACCAGGCTGGCCTCAATCTCCCAGAGAATTGCCTCCTTCTGCCTCCCGAATACTGGGATTAAAGGTATGCACTGTCACACCCAGCCCTTCATTCTTGTTAAAATGTCTAATACAAGGGCCTGAGGAAATGGCTCAGTTAGTTGGTAAAGTGCTTGCCTTGCAAGCCTGGGGACTAGAGTTTGATCCCCAGGACCCATGTGAAAAACCAGTTGTGGTGATACACATTTGTCATCCCAGCTAGGAAGGGGGATTCAGACAGGTGTCTGAGCTTCATTGATCAGCCAGTCTAACCTACTTGGGGAGTTCCAGGCTAATGAGAGATCCTGCCTCAAAAAACAAGGTGAGTCAGGCATAGCGGTATACCACTTTAAATCCCAGGACTCAGGAGGCAGAGGCAGGCAGAGCTTTGAGGCCTGGTCTACATGGCAAGTTCCAGGATGGCTGGAACTGCAGGGAGATCCTGTCTCAAAAAACAAAAACATAAAAAACCAAGGAAGACAGTGGTGGAGCCAAGGTTGTACTCTAGCTTTAACATGCATATACATACATGCATCTGCACTCATGAACATACACATATAAAATCTATGCAAAGCCAGATGTGCCTATAATCCCAGCACCTGGGAGGCTAATCCAAAGTTTGAAGCCAGCCTGGTGCACAATATCAAGTTCCAAGCCAGCTGAGGCTACAGAGTGAGACCCTGTTCCAACCCCTCTCCCCCAACTGCAAAAAGTCAGAATGCTGCTAGGCATGCTGGCTCAACTCCTCTAATCCCAGCACTGAAGAGATTCAGACAGGAAAATTGCTTAGAGTTGCCAGAGCCAGCCTGGGCTATGCAGTGAGTTCCAGGCCAGCCTGAGCTACAGAGTGAGAGCCTGTCTCAAAAAATGATAAGGGACCGGGAGTGGTGGCGTATGTCTTTAGTCCCAGCACTTGGGAGGCAGAGGTAGGTAGATCTTTGTGAGTTCGAAACCAGCCTGGTCTACATAGTGAGTTCCAGGCCAGCTGGGGCTACAGAGAGACCCTGTCTCAAAAAAACAAAATAATAACAATGATAATAATAATAATAGGCTGGAGAGATGGCTCAGTGGTAAAGAGCACTGGCTGCTCTTACAGAGGACCCAGATTCAGTTCCCAGCACCCACGTGGCAACTAAAAACCATCCTTAACTCCAGTTCCAGGGGATCTGACGCCCTCTTCTGGTCTCTGTGGGAATTGCATGCATATGGTGCACTTACATGTAGGCAAAACACTCATACACATAAAAATTAATTAACTAATTAATTAAAACTTGTAAGGTTACTGCCATCTTCCTACAGATGACTTGGGGGGTGTTATTACAGGAGGTGAGGCTGGGAGGAGCTCCAGCAGGACCTTTCTGTCCTTTCTTTTCCTGTTTTGAGCAATGGACAGCTCTGTTCACAGCTCTGACTAGATAGGGAGATAGGAAGGGGGTCCGGGTCCCTTGGGGACAGTGACAGTAGTGGGAACAGATGGGGTCTCCCAGGAAGAGGGATGGCTAAGGGACAGGAGGAGGACTTTGCATTTTCCCTGAAACCTGAGTTTTCACTCTCGGTGGGCCTCTGCCTTAATCCAGGAGGAGGGGAACACATAGACAATAGGGGATTGGAGAAGGTCTGCCTTCCCCTCCCTCTCCCTGGGACCCAGGCCTGGCCCCTGAGGGGTGGGGAACATAGGAGGACACTGTCTTCCGAGGTATGTTCTAACTAGAGCCACACACCAGATTCCAGTGAATAATGACAATATTGTTATTATTGTAAGAAATTAACTACCTGAGAGATGGCCCAGCAGTTAAAGGCGCTTGCCACCAAGCCAAGCCTGACATCCTGAGTTCAATTCCTGGGACCCACATGGTAGAAGGAGAGAACTGACTCCTGACTCCTGCAAACTGTCCTCTGACCTCCACATGTAACCCACACATGCACACACATGCAAATAAATAAATGTAATAAATTTTTTTTTTGAGACAGGGTCTCCCTGTAGCCCCAGTTGGCCTGGATTTGCTATGGAGACCAGGCTGGCCTTGAACTCACAGAGATCTGCCTGTCTCTGCCTCCCAAGTGCTGGGACTAAAGGCGTGTGCTACCACACCCAGCAAATATAATAACATTTTTTTCCCCTTTGGTCTTTTTGAGACAGGGTCTCCCTGTAGCCCCAGCTGTCCTGGAACTCACTATGTAGACCAGGCTGGCCTCAAACTCACAGAGATCCACCTGCCTCTGTCTCCCAAGAGCTGGGACTACAGGAGTGTTTCTTCATTTTTTTTTTGAGTCAGGGTCTTCTC